GACAAACTGTTTCGTCGGAGTTTCACCGACTCATCAGGAGGATATATATAAATATAATATATATATATATCGTCAAACAGATATATATACATAGAAGTTACCTGCATGCCTTTGCAGTGTCAATGGAGAAAGAAAGTCGATAAGTTCCAGTGCGAGTCTCATCAGGTACAAGCTTCAACATATGTTTCTTCAAATTCAGAAGGCTGCGAATTGTTGCCGTTGGTGTCACTTTTGGAGCCTGAGGGAGAAAAAAAAAAAACAAGTGAAAGGGACAAGGGCCTCCACACAGTCAGTCACAGAAAGCCGTCTTCAAAAGACCAAGCAGACTGCACAGTCCTTGTTTCCACAGCTGCATTGAGTTTAGAGTGAGTGCAATCCATGGAAAGAATTTATCACAAGTGCTGCGAATGCATTTTCTCTTTTTCGTTCAACATGCCACAAAAAACACAGGGGGTACGAAAAAGAACCAAGGAAGCGCTGGATATTGCTATGAATGCTTTTTCTTTTCTTTCCTTTTTTTGTTCACCATGACGCAAAAAATACAACTATGAAAAAAAGCCAACCAATCACTGGTTACTTTTCAAGTGCCAAAATGTACATTGCACGTTGCACATCGGTGCGTATTGTCCACAATAAAATATCCGAGGATGGAGTGCCCAAAAGCCAATCTACAAGACATGCACATCCACTCTTTGAAAGGACCACAGAGAGAGAGTACAAAAATAGACAGGAAGAGGACGTATCTGACCCACACGTGTGCATGTGTGCATGTGTGCATGTGTACGCCATCCTGTTCGCTATTATATATACAACTGGACAAAAAAAAACATGACTGTGGGAGACTATTTCTTCAGACGTTGACCGACTCATTTTGGGGGGCAGTGGTCGGTGCCTACCCCTTGGAGAGGGGGGGCAAGAGGGGGGGGGGGGGGGGGGGGGGGGGGGCGTGTAACAGTTGTGCGGCAGTGGTTGGTGCCAACCTGTAATTGGGGCTAAAGTGGATTATTATCATTTACAGTATGTTGGGGGACTGTGCAGACTGTTGGGGATTCATTAGATTCATTCAGCCTGCTGATGAGTTGGTGAACGTACGATGAAAACCAACTGGCCTATAGCTCGGTTGGTACACCCATTAGGAAACACAGACCCAAGTTCAAATCGAGATGCAACCAGATATAACTCTGAATTTACCCAGAGATTATGCTCAAGGCCGTCAACCGTTTGGAAAGAAAACAAAAAGAATGTACGATGAAAGGGTAAGAGGCCCGCATTTCTTGTGCTTTTTGCTCCTTGTGTGCCGGATTCGGTCGGCTTCGGCATTTATAACTACAAGACCGCTGTGTCTGGTGACTCAGTTCAGCCCCTTAAGTTCCTATAACTCCTGGACACCTCCTCCCTCTTCAGCTGGAGATATACGAAGATGGATCGCCATCCAGATACATCCACCCACATTGGCATCTGTCCTCCCTCCCACCACAGGATTCAATGTCACCTAGGCCATTGCGTTCTGGCACCCCTGGGCATTTCCCCCCTCTTTCCCTAGCTGGATCATCCCTCCCCCTGCGGGACCAGCGTCTAGAACTAGACCATTCGAGTCTGGTGTCCCAGTTGACCTTGCCTAGGTCCCTACCACTACCGGGCATTTTCCCCGCCCCTGGAGCCGGATCGCCCTCCCCCCATGGGAACCATTGTGTCTACTGCCTCAGTTCACCTTGCCTAGGTTCCTACCACCACTGGCCATTTTCGCCCCCTGGAGCTGGATCGTCCCCCACCCCCGGCAGGGTTCAACAACTAGAACTAGACTGTTGTATCTGATGCCTCAATACCACTCTTTCATCTAAGGGGGTTTCTAAATGCCTCCAAAACATACAAAATTTTGCAAATAGCAGAAAGGAGAGTTGACCTTGCCTAGGTTCCTACCACTACTGGGCATCTCCCCCCCTTGGAGCTGGATCGCCACCCCCTCGCCCGCCCCCCCCCCACAGGGCAGGGTTAAACCACTAGAACTAGACCGTTGTGTCTGGTACCTCAATACTGCTTTTTCATCTAACGGGGTGTCTAACTGCCTCCAAAACGTACAAAATTTCATAAATATCAGAGAGGAAGAGTTGACGTTGCCGTCCTTCAGGACATCCGTTAAAATTGGAACGATACAGAGAAAGAGAAGATTAGAATGGTCCCTCCACAAGGACGACACGCGTACATCGAGAAATGGTCCAAAACTTAAAAAAAAAAAGAGTTGACCTTGCCGAGGTTCCTAACACTTCTGGGCACTTTCTCCCACTCGCGCTGCATCCTCCTCTCCCCCTCCCTCCCCCTCCCCCGGTTCAACATCTAGAACTAGACCGTTATGTCTGGTGCCTCAGTTGACCTTGCCTAGGTCCCTACCACTCCTTGGCATTTCCCCCATCTTGAGCTGGTGATCCGAAACCCCCTCCAGTTCCATCCCTCCACATTGGTTCTCTCTCTCCCCTCCTCCCCTCCTCCCCTCCTCTCCCCACCTCCTCTCCCCCTCCAAATATCATGGTGGGCTTCTGATGCACTGCTAGCTAGCTGGCTCTGTGGTGTGCCATTTCCATTGGTTGTCGTCGCACATCTGCTTCAGGGCTCCGAAAGGTGGAAGATTGACATCCCAATCCCAATCCCAATTTCAGAAGAGAGATGCAATCGAGCCGTTTACGCATGTAAATCTTCTTGATACCTTTTTACAACAGAGATGAGATATGTGAGAACGAGAACGTTGAATACTTTCTTTCTACTATTTTGTTTAGGACAGAGAGCACATTATCGACAAACAGGGAGCCCCTACCGATAAGATGCTTTGTGTGTGTGGTAAGTGGGAGAGTGTTGGCCTTAGACACTGCTGCTACTGGATTGGGGGTGGAGGATGAGGCAAAGGGAGGGGCGGCTACTATCATCTTCCCCCGAACACAATGCACCCTCATTTTGACTGTATTGGGCCACATCCCTTGCATACATTCATTTTCAGGGTGCGTTATGTTCCGGGGAAGACGGTAGCAAAATGCTTGCAGGCGTCTTTGTGTTAGCGAGACCCCCACTGGCGGACACAACGCTGCACCCACCACCAGGGCAAGGGGCAACATGCCATATGCCCTTCACCGTGAGAGGTAGCTATGCTTGCAGGGGTCACCTCTATGTAGCCACTGGAGTAGGTAGGTAGGTAGTGAGAGGCGAAAGAATTTGAGAGAAAAATATGGTGTAGTTTAAAAAAACTAACAAACAAACAGGGAGGCAGAAGAAGAGAGGTAAGAATTTACAAGAAAGAGAGAGGCAGAGGCAGAGGCAGAAAAAGAGAGGTAATACTCTTATAGATTGTCACCAAGCAGTTCTCTATGACGATATACATACACATGCATACTTCATGCTATCTCATTTCACA